GAATCATTCCTGGTTTCACAGGCTCTACTTGGCATGGTTGATGGCTCCATTCAGGTACCTCCTGCTTATTCCATAGATGCTCTTAACCGTCAAATTCCCAATCCCGATTTTTCAACTTGCTTGAGAATTGCTCAAACAATCCATTCATGGTTATTTGCAACCCTATCTAGGGATGTACTTATCGATGTGCGTGATTTAAAACATTTTTGTGAAATTTGGGAACGGTTAGAGTCTCGCTTTATGTCTGCCAATTTAGCCAAGTCTATGGAATTAAAACGTTTATTTAATCAAATCAAAAAGAAACCTGATCAGTCCATGAATAACTATTTGAGAGAAATTAAAATATTAGTTGATGATCTTGCCACAATCAATTACCCTGTGCCGCCTCGAGAAGTTTTAAAGACTGCTATTATGGGACTGGGACCTGAGTATGAATCTTTATTTACTATTGTGTCCTTTTTTCCTCAAAATTTCCCGTTTGAAACTCTACGTAATCATCTTCTTGAGCTAGAGCAGCGGGTTATTTACCTACGCTCCCAGGAGTCCTCATCTTTCCATCAGGCTTTCGGCGCGGCTGTTTCATCACCTGCTCAACCTTCGGCCCCGCAGCATTCCAGTTCGTCGTACCCGGTCGGGCAGCAGGGTCACCTGGTTAGGAATCAGCGCCAGTCCGGCAATCAGCAGCGCGGACGAGGTCGCGGTCACGGGTGAGGCCGCGACGGCAGGGGGGCGGGGTCGCGGACAGCAGCAGGTGGTGTACTAGAATCCTCAGGGGCAGTCGGCTTATTTACCCGGAGGGGGTGGTCAGCCGGGTTCCCATGCAGGGGGTGACATCTACGGGTACTGTTGTTTGCAATTCTGCTATGTCAAATTTAAATATTAATGCCTTACCTGTTTGTGTTACTAACGATAGTTGTGCAGGCTTGCCATCAGACGGGGGTATTCTTGGGTCTGTTCCCCATCCTGTTGTCTGTCAAATTTGCTTTTCTGCAGGTCATTCCGCTGTCACTTGTCCTTCTCGTTTCACACAACCGTCCGCTCCTGCTTTGTTGACTACTCCTGGTGAAGCTAATCCTGCGTTATGGTATCCTGATTCGGGAGCCTCTGCTCATATAACTGCATCTGAAGGTATTTTAATTAATAAATCTCCCTACATCGGCTATAATTCTGTTAGTGTTGCTAATGGTGCTCATCTTCCCATAAGTCATGTTGGTGATGTTGCATTACCTACTTCTGGTCGTCCTCTCACTTTAAAATCTGTTTATCATGTGCCTCAGTTAAAATATAATTTAATTTCAATTCAAAAGCTATGCGCTGATAATAACTGTACTGTAGTGTTTGATAAAAATTCTTTTTTGATTAAGGACAAAGCATCGGGGGCAATACTTCTGCGAGCTACCAGTAGTGGGTCACTTTATCCTATCCGTCTGCCGTCATCCTCACCATTAGTATTTGCTTCTGTTTTAACTTCTGGCCCTGTGTGGCACCGTAGATTAGGTCACTGTGGTGATAGCATCTTACAGTTTCTTAAGAGAACGATTTTTATGTAGTCATTCTCCTTTTACTCATGAATGTGGGGCTTGTCGTTTAGGAAAATCACAACGTTTGTCTTTTGTGGATGCTAGTCATAATTCTATTTTCCTCTTCAAAATATTCATTCCGATGTATGGCAATCTCCTGTATTTTCAAATTTGGGATTCAAGTATTACGTGTGTTTCATTGATGATTTTTCTCGTTATACTTGGATTTACCCTATGCACCACAAAAGTGAGGTTTTTATGCACTTTAAAAATTTTAAGGCTTTAGTTGAAAATCTTTTTAATCATAAAATTAAAATTTTTCAAAGTGACGGAGGGGGTGAATTTGTTAATCATAATATGCAGCAATTTTTCTTGGCTAACGGAATATATTTTCGAAAATCATGTCTTGACACACCCCAACAAAATGGAGTTGCTGAGCGCAAGCACCGTCATCTACTTGAGTTAACTCGGACTGTGCTTCTTGAAGCCTCTGTTCCGAGTAAATTTTGGGTAGATGTTATTTTTACTGCTGCATATATTATTAATAGATTACCATCTCCTACCTTAAATGGCTTATCACCGTACCAAAAATTGTTTAATCGTGTTCCGGACTACTCATTTATGCGAGTATTCGGTTCGGCTTGTTACCCTAATTTTTCGGCCACATATGCTAATAAATTATCACCTCGTTCTGTTCAGTGTATCTTTTTTGGCTATGCATCCGGTTATAAGGGCTATCGTTGTTTTGATCCTACTACAGGTCGCATCTATGTGAGTCGTCATGTTAGGTTCCATGAGAACACATATCCCTTTAAAACACTTCCAAACCTCGGTCCTCCCTCTCTTAGTTCTACTACACCTGCTCCAATGCACCTCACAGATATTACCTTAGACCCTCCTACCCAATCCACCATCGTTCCCCAACCCCACTTCCCTGTCTCGGCCGCATCTTCCCCTCGGCCAGACCACCAAACCAGCCCTCCTCAGTCCTTCACCTGCCCAGCCTCACCATCAGTAACAACGTCCTCCTCCAGTCAGCAAACTTTCACCTCCACGCCCGCTGATAATCTTCCGACCAGTCCAATCGTCGGCGGCTCATTCTCAGCCGACGTCGTTCCGTCTTCCTCCCTTTCGAGTGTCCCCACTACGGCCGTGAATCACCACCCGATGCAAACCAGAGCAAAGTCAGGAATTTTTAAACCCAAAACAAATTTTAATTTAAATACAGTTATTACTCCTGCAGATTATGGGTGGACTCGGGCCGGGCCAACCGGCCCGGAACCGGACCGGCCCGCTACTGTGCGGGCCCGGACCGGCCCGGTTTGTTGGTTAGGACACGGTTCGGGCCACCCGGCCCGGTCGTGTAGCGGTTCGGGCCCGGGCTTAGAATTTGATGAACCGGCCCGGCCGGGCCGGGCCTCAACGGTCACAAAAAAAAAAAAAATTAAAAAATTTGAAGGCTCTACTAGCCGTTGGGAGCATAGGAGGGGGGGGTCTGGGGGGTTAGGGGGGGTGGGGTGGGGTATACAAAAAAAAACCTATTTATACTCCTATTTTCTATACAATTTTTACACCTCTTCTTCTACAACTCTTTCTACTCTCTAAAATCTAAATTCTCTATTCTCTTAATCTCTCATATTCAATCATCTTCATTCTTCATCTTCTCCAAATTCTTTCTACATATATATAATTTATATAATTATTATATCTACTCATATATTATAATATTAATTATCTACTTATAAATATATACTTATACACATTCATATTATAATTCTTTACGCATTATATTATATACTATATATTGTTATACATATATATTATATATTACTTATAATATATTTACACATTATATATTTATATATACTATATATAGTTATACATTATATTATATATTACTTAGAATATAGTTATACATTATATTATATATTACTTATAATATATTTACACATTATATATTTATATATACTATATATAGTTATACATTTGATTTATATATACACTTCTCGTTTATCTATTTAATTACTTAATTGTTTCATTTGTCATATTAATATTAGTTAAAGTAGTTAAAGTTAATTGTTTCATTTGTCATATTAATATTAGTTAAACTACTTAATTGTTACATTTCTCATATTAGTTAATTGCTACATTTTTACATTTCTCATATTAGTTAATTGCTACATTTGTACATTTCTCATATTAGTTAATTAGTTAATTGCTACATTTTTACATTTCTCATATTAGTTAATTAGTTAATTGCTACATTTTTACATTTCTCATATTAGTTAATTAGTTAATTGCTACATTTTTACATTTCTCATATTAGTTAATTAGTTAATTGCTATATTTTTACATTTCTCATATTAGTTAATTGCTACATTTGTGCATTTCTCATATTAGTTAATTAGTTAATTGCTACATTTTTACATTTCTCATATTAGTTAATTAGTTAATTTTTACATTTCTCATATTAGTTAATTGCTACATATCTCATTAAAATAACAAAACTAGTTAATTTTTACATTTCTCATATTAGTTAAGTGCTAATATTTGTTCAATTTTAAATATGGAGCGAGGTAGACATTCTGTAGATGTGGGTAATCTCCAACGCAACCGCAAGAGGGAGATTGCATCGACTCGATCTACTTCACGCAAAGGCAAAGGTAAAGCGCGGGCCGAGTCTTCTTTTCAAAGTCGAGATGATTTTGAAACGGATTACCAACGGCGAGATGGTATGATGATGTCCGACGAGGAACTACAACACCTATTGTCCCGAAATGATCCACGTTTTGCACAAGAACAACAATTCCCGACAACCATCGATGAAGAGGAGCTCGAGGATGACGATGGGGAGGAGGACGCGGGGGGCGACGGGACTCCGGATGATGAGGAAGAGGACGAGGGCCCTTCAACGACTACAACCAAAATTGGTAAGAAATCTAAATCTGCTATTATTGAAAACAATTTTACAAAAAGGAAAGACGAAAAAACCGAAAAATGGTACGCAAGTTGCAATCATTGCAAGAAAGAGTTTAGCTTGGGAATTTCTGGCGGATACGGGAGTCTCAAAAGGCATCTTCAGTCCACCCACGTTGTGCAGTATGCGAAAATAGACAAAGGAAAGGGGAAGCAAACACAAATATCAAGGTTTGCAAATTCTCAACCCTTTGGTAATTTTTCCTATGATGATAAAAAACATTTGACTGGTATGTCTCATTTAATTGTTGAAGAAAATTTACCCTTTATTTTTTCCGAAAGTCTTGCTTTAAGAGATTATGCTCAAGCTACTTTAAATCCTCAATTTAGAAATTATAGTCGCAAAACGATTAAAAAAGAAGTTATAAGGCAATATAACTTGGAAAAAGAAAAATTACAAATATTTTTCGCAAACTTTGATGGACGTGTTAGTATTTGTAGCGATATATGGGAGGATACTTATCATCATTTATATTATTTGGGTCTAACTGCACATTATATTGATGATGATTGGAATATGCATAAACGTGTTCTTGCTTTTCGTGAATTCAATGATCGTCACACTGCTGATAATATTTATATTCTCATTGAACGTATTTTAATTGAGTATAATTTGATTGATAAGGTGTTTGTTGTAGGTTTTGATAATGCTAGTAATAATACTGCTGCTATACCTAGATTACGTGAATTGTGTGGTGCTTCTACATTGATGGGTAGATTTTTTCATCAACGTTGTGCATGTCATATTCTAAATTTGTGTGTACAAGATGGCTTAGCGGCATTAGGAAATGCTTTGGAGGTAGTCAAGGGGGGAATTAAATTGATTTGGGCTAACACTCCACTAAAAATGCAATGGCGGCAATATTTGAAGGATAGACGTGTGAATTATTGTGCTTTTCCTAAAGATTTGTCTATTCGTTGGAATAGTACTTATAATTTAATTCAAGTACTTGTTAGATATAAAGATCATTTTCCAGCTTTTTTAAGACAAACTTGTAACTATATTATAAACCCGGCTGACATCGACACTTGTGAAAAAATTGTTAATGTTTTTGCATATTTTAATAACGCAACTCTAACTTTTAGTCATGTTTATAAACCTACCGCAAACGAATTTTTTGTTGAAGCTGTTAATCTCGCCGGCGATTTTTGTGAATTTTCCGACGCCGCTTACGTTAGTTATTTTTGTGATTTCATGAAACAAAAGTTTTTAAAATATTATTCACATATTCCGCATATATATGGTATTGCATTTGTTCTTGATCCTCGTTATAAACTTCCTTACTTGGCAAATTGTATAGATTACTATTATGCTTCTTTTTTTCCAACTCAAGAGTTCGATGATAATCCCATCGACCCTAAACAAGAATTCAACGAGGTTAGTAATTTATTTCATCAATTGTATAATGAATTTCATGCACAATATGGTAATGCACCCCCTCCCATGCAACGAACATCTTCTTCATCTAAAGGAAAATCACTTTTAAAATCCGCTTTTGGTTCTCTTTTGAAAAAAAGTAGAGCAACTCCCGCTACTGAACAAAGCTCAGGTAACGAGCTTTCTTTGTATCTAACATTGAATGTTGATTATGAAGTTGGTGATGACTTTGACGTTCTTAAGTGGTGGAAGGAAAATGAAAGAACATTCCCGATTTTATCAAAGATGGCTAAGCAAGTACTAGCAATGCCGATATCAACCGTTGCCGTGGAACAAGAATTCAGTGCGGCCGGCAACGTCCTAACAGATTTTAGAACGAGGTTGAGCCCGAGCTCTCTTGAGACACTAGTTTGCTTTCACGATTGGTTGAAGGCCCAACGAAGAACTCAAGAAATTACCATCACTCCCTCCCGCCACTTTATGGAGGAAACAACCGAAGGCGGAGAGTCCGATTGATTTTTTATTACAAAATGTATTACATTTTTTAAATTCATCCTAATTCTCAATTGTACTTCTTATTTGAAATAAATATACTTCAATTTGAATATAATATATTGTAATTGTAATAAGATTTATTCTAATTATATAATAATTAAAAAAAAAAAATAGGCCCGGCCCGTGAAACGGGCGGGTGACCCAAACCGAATCGGACCCGGGGTTATCCGGGCCGGTTCCGGGCCTGCCTTCCTAGAACCGAGGCCCGGCCGGGCCCAGGCCCGAACCGGACCCGAACCGGCCCGAGTCCATTCCTACTGCAGATCCTACCTGTTTTACTGAGGCTAATAAACATTTAAAATGGCGTGAGGCAATAGCTGATGAATTTAATGCACTCATTAACAATAATACTTGGGAATTGGTGCCCTTTGAGTCTTTGACAGCACTAAGAATATTGTTGGGTGCAAGTGGATTTATAAAACTAAATATCACTCTGATGGGTCATTAGAGCGCCATAAAGCTCGATTAGTAGCACAAGGTTTTAATCAGCAGGCAGGTATTGATTTCTCTGAAACTTTTAGTCCAGTTGTAAAACCCACCATTGTTCGTGTTGTACTTACTCTTGCTATTTCTTTTGGGTGGGTTATACGGCAACTTGATGTTAAAAATGTCTTCTTACATGGTCATCTGACAGAAGAAGTTTATATGCGTCAGCCCCGTGGTTTTATTCACCCTCAATTTCCTAATCATATATGTCGTCTGCGCAAGGCCATTTATGGCCTTAAGCAAGCTCCACGGGCCTGGTTTCATAGATTCAGTAGCTTCCTTTTGCAACATCATTTTTCCTGTAGTAAATCTGACAATTCTTTGTTCATTTACCGCCAGAATAATACTATTATTTATTTATTATTATATGTGGATGATATTATTATTACTGGCAATTCTGAGTCATCTGTTACCCAATTTATTTCGATTATCTCTCTTCATTTTGCTATGAAAGACTTGGGTAATCTCCATTATTTTCTGGGTGTTGAGGCTATTCGTTCACCTAAAGGTATGTTTCTCTCTCAACATAAATATGTTACTGATCTTCTAGCCCGTTTTCATCTCCATACCGTAAAGCCTGTTCGCACCTCGTTAGCTTCTCGTACCACTCTGTCTCTTTCTGATGGTGAGTTACTGTCTGATTCTACTGAGTATCGCAGCATGGTTGGTGCATTACAATATTTAACTTTGACACGGCCAGATATTACGTATGCAGTACACTTAGTGTCTCAGTTCATGCATGCTCCTCGAACCACTCATCTTTTTGCAGTCAAAAGAATTTTCAGGTACTTGCAGGGCACACGAGATCATGGCCTATGGCTTCAGCAGTCTAATCGGCCAACCTGCGCTCCACAGAAGCAGAATATCGTGCTCCGATGCTGATTGGGCAGGTTGTCCTGATAGTTCTCGGTCCACCACAGGCTTTGGTTTCTTCTTGGGTCCGAATTTGATTTCTTAGAAGACTAAGAAGCAGCCTACCGCGTCGAAGTCCTCCACAGAAGCATAATATCGTGCCATTGCTTACACAGTACAGGACACACTGCATATCCTATCGGTCTTGTTCGAGCTTGGTTGGCCAATCACGGAGCCGGTACATTTATTGTGTGATAATATCTCTGCTTCTTATTTGACTGCAAATCATGTTCAGCAAGCCCGCAGTAAACATATCCAGATTGACTATCATTTTGTTCGGGAACGGGTTGCTCACGTAGATCTGATTGTTAAGCACGTTCTTACTCATCTACAACTGGCAGATATTTTTACTAAAAATCTCTCTAGTCAACGTTTTCATTTTTTAAAAGACAACCTGCGCGTTGTATCTCCCGCACAGCTTGAGGGGGTGTAATAGAATTATTAGAGATTTAGTATTATACTTTACATTAAACTCTCTTTAATATAAATATATCTGTCAGGGCTCCTTAGGGAGTAATCTTTTTCCATTATTCTCACAATATGGTATACAATTTGCAATTTTGTCATGCTTATTTGGGGTAGTGGCATTATTAAACAACGTGTTTTTTACTGTGCATCATTAAACAACTTTAGGAATTTTATTTTAAATACTTATGTTTTAAATATGTGCATTGTCAAAAGATTTATTTATTGAAATATGTTAAATACTTATGTTTTAAATATGTGCATTGTCCAAAGATTTATTTATTGAAATATGTGCATTGTCAAAAGATTAATTAATTCATGTGATTATCCGCATCCTTGCACTTCTAAGAAAATAAATATGGACTACGTTTATATGAAAATAGTGAATAGACTCTGTCAACACTGCTTTTCCATGCACTCCAGCATCGTCGATACTATTTTTCCCTACACTTCAGCACTGTCAATAAAATATACTCAATATTTTTTAAATATCAATTTATTAAAACATTAATCAAATTATTATAAGTAATGTTATTTTTTTTCTTTTTTTATTGTAAATTATGAAATTAAAAAATATAATTTTGAGTTTTTAATAAAAGAATTATGTCCAAGAAAACTTTTTAATAAGAATTATTTTTTTAATCTTTTCAGTTTTAATATAAGATAAAATGAATTCATGTAATATTCGGTTATTTATGAGGGCTCCATGGATTACAATTTTGTATTTCCTATTTTTTGGGTCCAAGAAAACTTCAACAATTAAAACTTCAATTTTTTTTTACTTTACATATGTTATTCATGTCATATCAAAGATCATAAAATTCATAAATTTGGATATATATTTTTGAAATATTTGAAATATAAAGAAAAAATTTACAAGAGTTTTTAAAAAAGAGGGTTTTATAAGAGTTTTCTAATGCATATTAAATATTATCATTACTCACTTAATTTAAGTGACTTAAATAGTTATACATTTTTACACGAGTTTTTGTCACTTTTAGTCTCTCGACTATTGTGTCAGTGTCACTTTTAATACTCGACTTATATATTTCCATTCTTAGTCCTTTAACTATTGTGTGAGAGACATTTTTAATCACTGACTTTAAAATTCCTTCATTTAGTCCCTCGAGTATTGTAAATTTAACACTTTTAGCTCTTCCACTTTTATGTTGAAGGGCTAAATATGGAAAATATCAACGACAAGTAGGAAAATGATCTCTTACATAATAGTCGAAGGATTAGAAATGAAAAAATTCAGAATCGAATACCAAAAGTGTCCCTGACATAATAGTCAAAGGACTAAAAGTGACAAAAACTCTATTTACACTAAGAATAACTACGGAGTATTTAATAAAAAATGGGATTGTGGAACTATGGATGGACTCGGGCCGGGTGGCCCGACTCAGAACTGGCCCGGGACCGGTACTGTTCCGGACCGGCCCGACCCGGTGGCCCGATCAGTGACCGGTCCGGGTAGGCCCGGCCCGTGGGTTTTCTGGTCCGGGCTCGGGTTACCCAAAACAAGGCCCGGGCCCGGTTCGGGCCAAAAACTATTTTTTTTTCAATTTTTTTAAATTTTCGGGTTGGGCTGGGTATTTTGGGCCATTTGGGGTGGTTTGAGGGGTTGGGGGTGGGAGGGGGGTTAATTAGGAAGAGGAAAACCAAAAAAAATATAATGGGCCCGGCCCGGGCCTAGGCCTGACCCGGACCCGGCCCGGACCCGAGTCCATCCATATGTGGAACCAGGATCGATCGATCAACCGCTCGGTCCTAGAGGTGGACTCGGGCCGGGTGGCCCGACCCGGAACCTGCTCGGGACCGGTACTGTTCTGGCCCGGCCCGGCCCGGCCAGGGACCGGTCCAGGTAGGCCCAGCCCGATGGTTTTACGGTGCGGGCTCGGGTCCACCAAATGATGAACCGGTCCGGTTCCGAGCCTTTTTTTCAATTTTTTTATTTTTCAGGGTTGGGCTGGGTGTTTTGGGCCATTTGGGGTGGTGAGGGGGGTGGGGGTGAGGGGGGTGTATTAGGGGATTAATTAGAAGAAAAAAATAGGAAGTGGCCCGAGGCCCGGCCCGGCCCAGACACGGCCCGGACCCGGTGGCTACCCGAGCCGGTCTCGAGCCTAACTATTCTGAACCGGTGGCCCGATCCGGACCCGGCCCGGCCCGAGTCCACCCATACTCGGTCCTAGTCGACCGAGACCTGTTCAGAACTGGATTAATATGGGTCAATCCCAAGCCT